CGAGGTTTTTACATAAACTAAATCAAGGTTAAAACACATTTAAATTTTATGAAAAATTAATATTTTAAATTTTCTATTCTATAGGTAATAAATTATTGATGAAAAATCATTCAAAATTATAGATAAAATAAATACAAGTACCCCTAATACCGATATGAGATAATTACTTGTTCAGGATTCAGAGATGTCTTAACTTCTTTTGTAACAATTTTTGCTTCTTCTCTAGGCACTATGTCAATAAGAAAATCAAATTGGTCATACTTGGTGATTGCCATGGCGATATCATTTCTTTGTAACGTCCGTCGACGGTTGTCTTCAGTATGAATCCAAGCGCGAAGAGTCAATTCGTTGATAAATATTTCCGCAGCTTTTGAGAACAACATTGGAGCTTCTGCACTAATCATTTTCACATTTTCATCTAATTTCATCACTTTTTTTATTCTAGCTAGTGGTAATGCTTGTGTTTTTAAGTCTAACTAAACAAAATTCGAAAAAAAAAAAAACTGTAACAACCAAACATAAATTATAGAATGTATAAACTTACTGTTCCAATCTTTCTAATTTCCTCAATAGCTTTGGGCCAAAATTGGTTCAGAGCAGCCACATTGCAAGTTTGATTGTTCTCTTCTACGGATATTGTAATAGCGTTGGGATCATCTTCGGTCGGATTGTCTTCCTCTTCCTCTTCTGTGGACCTGTATAGTACACGCTTATTATTACTACACACAACATACTACACGGTCGACAATTAATACTTACGGATTCACCAAGAAGACGGACATGGTTACGTTAAACTCACAATTCGGAATCAATCCAAACGAATTAATTTGCCGCTCAAATTAGCGCATCCAACCAAAATTGGAGAATCGTTAGTTTTCAACAGAACAAAAGCAGATGTCCAATAGCTATTCAACGACACAAATGACGCCCAATCATTTTTTCGCCTTCGTACTCTTATTGATACTAACCGTAAACACACTAAGCACAAGGAATCCCAAAACTTTTATAAACAAACCATATCTTACTAATTATTATTGTAAGAATTTATCAAATGACGGATGATCATTATTTTAAACTAATAAACTATAATAAGAATTTACCTAAATATTGGGTGAATTATGTTATAAATCATTATTTTAAACTAATAAACTATAATAAGAATTTACCTAAATATTGGGTGAATTATGTTATAAATCATTATTTTAAACTAATAAACTATAATAAGAATTTACCTAAATATTGGGTGAATTATGTTATAAATCATTATTTTAAACTAATAATTATTATTTACTGGTCACTATTAATAAATTAGTTAACATCTATCGTTGTGTGAATTTAGTAATTTGTTCAATTGTTCGTTAAATGAGCATTGTTATTATTTGAACATATTTTGGGAACCACTGATAACGTTATCTTGTGAGTCGTGAATCGTGATAGTCAATACTCATTAACTCACGTCAAGTTACGACTGCCTCACTGACACACAGTACTGATACTGAGTGATTTTGTACTCATCATGATATAATGTTTAATAATATATTATTATTATATCAGCTACACATTACTCAGTACTTATAATCACTATTATTTTTTATAGCCACTTCAGGCTTCGGTTTCCATGAACYGAAGTTATTATTAAAATATTATTGATTCTATATCAATATCATAGATTCCCGAACTTTATTGATTCAAGGCAATGCGGTATACAACAAAATTTTTTACAAAATATCCTGAAGCACCTTATACAACGGTGTATTTATATTAACACTTTTTAACTTCAGTTTTCATTAGTCGAACATATTACATTATGTATAGCAGTGGTTCCCAAACTTTTTTTCGCGGTGCCCTTTAYATAGCCACGGCGCCTTGCTGCGAATACCTTTAAAGTTTAAAGATAGTACAAAAAAATACTCATTAATAACGAATTATCGATTAAAAATTCTTATTACATTCATTATGAGCTGTAGATCGCAGTGCACGGTTTGGTAACTGCTGATGTACAGTATTATGCCTGAATATGGGGAAAATAAGCCACGGAAAAAAAGTCAAATTACAATAATTAATATAATTTTTACACATTATTGGCCATATTGTATACATATATATATATATATCATTATTAATACACAAGTTATATGTTATTATTTATTATTCATAATAATAAATATATTTTAGATTCTAAACAGCATTGAATGTAATGATTTTATATTTTTATTAAACAAAAATTTTAAATTAATTTACTTCAAGATAATATTCAGAAAATATTATATTATTTTTATTAAATGTATATAAAAATATTAACAATTTTATTTTTATATATGAATACGTACAAATGTACAATACAGTACTGTGTTAAAAATTTTAAATTAACATGTAACCTGTGTATTAATAATTATATATAATATATATGTATATATTTATATGTATTCAAATACAATATGATCAATGTTTAAAAATGTTGAATAATACTTTAAATTTTATTTTTTTATATATTTAAATATAATTATTTATATATATTTGACCAATAATGACGTGTAAACGATTTTTAAATAATACCTAATATAATACTTTAATTTTAATTGTCATATATTTAATTATTGTAAATTTGTAAATTGACTTTTTTTCCCCATGGCTTGTTTTTCCGTGGATTTAATTTCCTTGGCTTTTTTTTCTGACTACCATTAT